TAAAAACTACTTCACTGGAGCTAAAAATAGAAAAATCTTGTTAACACTAGTGGCTACTGTTTTGATCCAAGAATCCTGGAAATTGGTCTGAAATTTTGTTTTGATGATTTCTAGGTCAAGTTGGAATATGGGTCACCTGGGTAAAAAATTGGGCCACACTGCTCAAATATGGATAATCCTAGTTAACATTCTAGTGGTCACATTTTCGACTCACCTGTCTTGAAACTTGGTCAGAATGCTTGTCTAGGTAATCGTTCGGATGAGTTTGATGGGATGAGCGATCTAGGGCCATCATGGCCCTCTTTTATTTCATGTATCTATCATTTTATCTAGCTTTGTGATTGACAATAACAGTTAATCATACTAGATTTTGCTTAGTATTTAGTCTTCCCAGGTTTGTTAGACAGTTTATCACATGTTTTGCTATTTAGATATTTGCAACGATAATAATAATTATTCAGAAAATTGTGTTTAATTTTCAAGGAGCAAAATAAATTTATAAAAGATATATATAGTCACACTGATCTTGCTTAAATATCTGGGTGGTTTTCTTTAAGCTCTTAAAAACCTTTCTATATTTTTTTTTAACAGTTTTGTTATCGTAACTAGGTAAGACAATTATTATTGTCTTCAGTTCGCTACCACCTCCACATTTCTTGTCGTGTTGTTGTTCCAATGACACTGATTACAAATAGTGTCAGACTTTTTAAAGTAATTGTATACTGTTTTTAAAATATCCTTTGCTTCCCATTCAATCAGATGACTGAAAATAACAAAAAAACTATATTTTCATATTCGATATTGTTTTTATTAAGCACAATTTGTGTCATAAATAAAGAACGCTGTTTATTTCGTTCATGCGGATATTTTTTAGAGCCGAGTAGCTGTATATATTTATTATTTAGGTAATAACGAAGCGTTTGAGATACTAATTAGTATTTTATGATAAAACAATGTACGTAATTAGAATTGAACGGTGTTGTTGATAAAATTGCCGTATGCAAAATGCTATATAATCGATTACTTATGTAATTTATAACTTTTAAACACACATAAGAAATAATGTGCATGGTCTCTTTTTTTCAGACAATTAAGTTTTTTTTTCTTACCTTTGTTTGATTTTTGGTGGTATAGCAATCAGTCCCATCCGGAGCTTATGTGTTCTCGGTATTTACTCCTGACAAATCATCTGTCAATTTAAAAATTAAAGTAGATTATCATGGTTGCAATAGTTATTGTCTGAGAGGATATTTTTTTATCATTTATTTGGTTAGGTTTAACGTCGCCCCAACATTGTATATATCAAATTGTGATTTTCCAGCTTTACTGGAGAAGGAAGACATGGGATACCTGTTCTTGCATTATTCCAGGCCGGAACAGGCACCTTTGTAGAACCACCCTAAGCTACCTGGATGTCTTCATGACATGACAGAATCCAAAGTCCCTCTCAGAATTGGAAAGTGGTTTGAAGTCAACGACCTTAATCACTTGGCCAAAAATACCGTTAGGGAGGACATGGAGGACATATAATTGGTAGCAAACATATTTCTCCCACTATCTGTTTCTTAAGGTCGACGTTTTTAAAAAACATAGAGGTATTGCAATAGTCATGTCGGCGTTGCTGTTGCCATTAATGTTGCCGTTGCCGTTGCCGTAGCCGTCCAAACTTGAAAATTTATCATAGCTTTTAAAGTCTAGGTGTCTTGACCTCATACGTGGCCACAACAACCTTTGGGGCAAGACCTTTTAATAGACCAGACTAACCTTGACCTTTATCCATAAATGACCTTGACCAAGGTCATGTGTTTAAATGTTGGTTTTTTTTTTACTTTAAGTGCATATTTTTTTTATTTTTAAATTAAATGTCTTCAAACTAGTGCAACTCTGTTATGACCTTGACCTTGAAAGTTAGTTTTTTGAATTTACACTTTTTTCCCCTATAATTGACTGTAACTTGGTTATTAACAAATGAAGTATCTACAATCTTTGAAAAAAACATCATTTAGGACCTTCTAACAAATTGAAATGACCTTGACCTTGAGCTTTAAATAAGGTCAAATTATTGAATTTTGGTTAAATTGTTAATTTTGACTTGTTTTAATATAACGATTTTTATTTAAACTTGAATTAAAGAAGAATAGCTACTTAAACATAATTGAGCTATTTAGATGATACCTTGACCTTCAATTAGACTTCGACTGCCAATGTCAAATTAATGAAATTCTCTTGTTTTGTTTCTGCATCTGGCTATAATTAAGAAACTACATCTCTTAGATCAAGACCTTAATGTATATTAAACTCAAATTGAGTCATGTTTGACCTTGAAGGTAAAATTATTTTATTTTTACTGATGTTCACTTAAATTGGGTGTAACTTTGTAATTAATCAATGGATTGTTTTCTTTTTTCATACTTTGACAAAAAAAAACTTTTTGAAAGGACATTCTTAAAGGTTGAACTAACCTTGACTTTGAATTTTAAATGACCTGGACTGTCAAGGTGAAAGTAATAGATTTGCAATTTACATCTTGTGTCATGTGTAGCGTTAAAATATATTATCTAGAGTCAGTAAATTGACTAAACAGTGAACATGGTGAAGTGTTTGGGTATTCGTTTCCCACGGGCACATTTCTAGTTATATAATTTAAGACGCATTTTTCTGGAAGTCAAATGGTCTGAACATGTTTAAGTCCCCTACCGGTTTAACAACCCTCCGTCCGTCTGTCTGTCAGTCCGTCCGTCCACAAAACTGGATCCCGCGATAACGCAAAAAGTACTGATTGACACTCACAAAATATTTGTATGAAACTTGATATATAGATAGATAGCATAATGGTAAGTATGCACGTCTTTTTTTCTTCCTAATATGTTGAAAATTCTGATTGCTATGGCAACAAATAGTCTGAAAATATGGCAATTTAACACATAAACTGGATCCAGTGATAACTCAAAAAGTACTAAAATACTTTTATGAAACTTGAAATATGGGTAGATGGCAGTCTGGAGTTTATGCACATCTTTTTCTTTTCTTCCTATGTTGATATTCCTTGTTGCTATGGCAACAAATAGCCTGAATTTCAAGTTTTTTATTTCTGAAGGTGTTTATTTCAAATTTTAAATATAAGTTTTTTGTCATCAACCACATCATATGTGACAAGGTTTACAACTCTAGCACAAAAAATATCAGTATTAAGTCCCTTGAACTTAGATTTTTTTATGAAAAAATGTTGTCTTTTTTAAATAACTTCTTTATGTATCTACTTCAAACTTCATATATATGTTTCTTATTATCACTCAACATTTTTGAGAAGGTTACATACTCTAGCAAGACTATTTCCAGAATTATGTCCCCGTGGACTTAGATTTTTTTCGAGAAATTGGTATTTTTTACTCCAACTTCTTCATTCCTTATAGGATTTACTTTAAAATCCCACATCGTAATCATATGACAAGGTTGTATAAACATAATTTTCTTACTAGGCAGAGAAACATAGCACATTACTGTGATATAGACAAACTTAGAACTCAAAAGAATTAAGTTAATTCATGTCATTCAATCACTGGTAAAATTGAATGGCCAATGGCCCATCAGAATGTTGCTGGAGTTCTAACCGGTAGGGGACTTATGGATTGATTGCAATACCATTATAATTTCTTGTTGTTACATTATTTCTTCATTGTTTTGTAAAAAATATTTCCAAAACAATTAAGATAACCCAAACTTGAGATAGCTAGTTCAAAACAATTAAGATTGCTGAGCTTCTGTCATGAAATAACACTACCTGCTATGAGACAATTCTATGCTTAATCGGGGTTCAAGTGCCGTTTGAGGCACTGAGAGTACGATCCCCAGACAATGTGTCGACATAACGTGTTGGACCTTATACTCGGGGTCATGCAGGCGCATGTATCATTTTACTCTTTGTCGTTGTAGATGCAGATTAAGCACCTGTAAAACTATTGAGCAAAGTAGTCTAAAAGAAGAGCCACTTACTCTTAGTAGATCATGGGACTTATCGTAAGTCCCAGCTACATCTAAGTACTTGAAAATTAGAAATAACCCATCATGAATGTGATGATGATTATATACATATATATATATATATCGTGCTTGTGCCTAAATAACTTCTTAACCCTTTTTATCCTTAGATATAAAATGCTGAAGCGCAAGTTATGTAATTTTTTAAACCAATATGTATTTCTAAATCAATCATCTCTTTTTAGGATTCATGTTATACATTATCAAGGCTTTTCCTTTATATAGCAGGACCATTTATAGGCCTGGTAGAATCATAGTTTTCCCCTAGAATTCAGTTAAACACTAATTAGATTTTGCAAAAAATAACTTGTAATTAAACTGACATTTAAGGGACTACGCCGCTTCATTCACATGAAGACGTGCAGGACAAATGGCCAAATGTTTCAAGTGCTACCGTTCACTTTCTTAGTACGTAATGTACTCTCTTACCGAGCCTGCAACATTTTCAATTTTGTCGTGTTAGGCTTTCTTTAGGGATTATGCATTTATCTATTTTAATATTTAACACCATTGCACGTCTGAAACTGTCTGGGTAATGCAAAATGTACACCCAAAATGCATCAGAAGCCATCATATTATATGTAAAAAAAAACTGGCACTTAAAGCGTTCGCATGCGCTAAAGAAGGAAATATTCAGGAAAAATATAAATAAATAAATTTTGAATTGTATACGTGAAAATGCATCAAAAACGTATGTATATATTCTTTTCAGGGATCGAATAGTATTTTTAACCCTAGGCTAATCTGAAATTTTGTGAAAAATATGTAGACACTTTAATTTGTATAATGTGCATCTAAAATGCACAAGAAGCCAATTTAACATGTTTTTTCATTTTTTTTCCGGGGAGGATCCAAAAAGGTCCTATAAAAAGGTGTGGTCATTTCAAACTTAAGCCCCTCCCCATTTCGTCGTCCGGCCCAGTGACATACCAAAGCCTGCTTCGAAGTGCTCTTTATCTGCTTTAGTTGGCTCGAGCTAAAAATATACACAAACTATCATTTTATTGTATTAGTGACAATTAAAACTGGAAAAGAAAAATCGTACAAATGCAAGAAGTTATCATGCTCTCAAATTAAGTTAATGAAGATACGAATATGGACATAACTGGTTTTTTACATTATGGAATGTAATCTGACAACACTTTCTCTGAGCGGAAAGAATGTTTAACAATAATAGTACATTTCTGTAATCACGAACACCCCTTTATATATAGTTTCAGACTGAGATAGATCCAGTCTGTTCATGAAAGATAATTAAGGCGTAACATATCCAAAAGTCATCTAGCCCTGGCGTATGCCAATATTTTATAACTGTAACAAAAACATACAAGTAAAATGGTTCCCTGCGGGGAACATTTTTAATGATATAAAGATATTTCATTAAACTATTTTCAACATTGTTTTGGGGGGGGGGGGGGGTAAATTAACGTTTGTATCAGGAATATAGTTGACAATAATCGATCAATATAGAAGGTCTTTGGAAACCGGTGACCGTTGAAGACCGGAGAAGGTCGAACATAAAACAATTATTTCTTTTTAAGAAAATGATTAATTAGGCCTACCATTTTATGAATATATAGGTCCGAGCAAACAAAGAATAAAGTAAACACACAAGTTTACGCAGAAAATATCTCTATTTATAATGGCAGATGCCACTACAAATATTCTAATTTTGTAGATTTTCAGTTTAAACAATTTATTATTTGTAAATTTTGAGATAGATTTTAAAGATACATTGATCATTTTCAAACACATCATTCAAATTTTTCCACCTTAAACGGTAAAATAATCATAGAAAATTAGAAATATCACGTAATAGTTTTTTGTTCTTAATTAGGTACGTGTAATTCGGACTTATTCCCTAGAGGTAAAATCCGTAACGTACCGGCAACCGGTATTTAGCTAGGTTTTCGAAAAGGTCAATTAACCAATCATGTACGGTTTAAAGATCACGTGCTCCTCCATGTACCGAAAACAGGTCACGTGCTTCTCCATGCCTCAAAAGTTAAACGCGTACCAATACCCTGCGGTCTCCAGACCGCAGGGAATAATAAATACCTCTCTACCACGATTGAAAGTATCGTCCGGACACGTCGTTGGTTCTCTCTGTCAATATAAGTGTCTAAAACAGTTGTTTTTTTAACTTTAAAGTGTTTGGCAATATTAACCCGAGACTAGTTCATTTACGCGCAGCTTTTGTGTAATTTCCGTATTTTGTTCGATTAAGCTATGGTTTTAAATCAACGAACAGTTCTCAATACTTACATTGCCCAGTGGTAAATACAACTGAATTGAACATGCCTGCAAGATTTAATCCTTAACAAAATATTTTCAGATTTCTTTCACAATTTTTCTTTAACAGGTACATTATATTCATTAAATGCAGCACGAATGAATGAATGAATGGTCTAATCAAATTCAGTGTATTGTAATGTTTTTTTCTAAGTTCATATCTTGATAAAAATGTAGTTTCATCAATTTCGCTACCCTATGTATTACAAAGAGTGGTTTATATGCACACAGAAAATAGTGGTCAGGTCTTTCAAAATATAATAAGAAATAATGATGAAGTAGTATAAAGTAGAAAACAGAGTATAAATCATGTGTCGAATCTCTGAATTTCAGATTGAAATTTACACTTTGTTTTTGAGCCTAGTAAGTCCCGATTTAAGCCACTATTGTCTATTTTACATAAACCGTTGTGCTATAGTTTAGAATTCGTATGATTTAGTGTTGAATCCGATGATTACCGACAAAAAGTCATAGAAATTCGAATGTTTCCGGTCAGTATTGTCATCCATTCCATTTAGTCGGACCGCTGAATTCATCGTTAACATATTATTATTTGAAGGCTCGCAACACATTTATGTAAGGTGTAATACATGGTAATAGATAAAGCTGTTTGTTGGAAATGCAGAGATACATTTTATTAAAATGCAACGCTTTGGTAATTTGAAATATAGATTAAATAACAAAGAACATAAAATTCAAAAAATCTTAAACAACATTCAACAGCTTAAACATATTGATAAACATGTACATGTATAAATAAAGAAAGTACAATTTGTTACTTAACTGTATTTTGTATTTGTGGAAAGTCATGAAATAGAAAAAATAATTAAATAAAAATTGTTCACTTACATCTGGACCTGTTTTTCTTTCGTCTCTGTGATAAATTGAAACATTTTTATGTGTAAAATTCAGGCAAAGGAATTATTTCTTGAAAGCAATGAACACAACAATATCATATAAAAATTGAACTCGGTTTCATTGTGTCTATTCTTTAGAGATAATGCATAAGTTTCACATCTATGATTCATATTATTTCTTATAACACCACCTCAAAATAGAGAAATATCTGCTGAAAACTTTGACCTTAGTCAAATTTAAAACTATAGCGTTCATACTTGGAAAGTTCAACGATTGTTTCGCATTGATAAATAAAAATGACATTGGCAATAACTAAACTAACTTCAAGTTAACAATGACAATAGTATAACTTTGTTATTTATAAAATGCCAATTATGCCTTACAAATGTTATTAATTTTATTTCTCTCAACCGTTTTATTCATGCTATCTTATTATATCTTCCGAAACAAAAATCGTATGCTATATACATGAACCTTTTTGCTATCTTGGTTCACTAGCAATTTATAATTGTAGTGAAATAGTGTTTTGTATGGAAGTCAGAATACTTCTGTGTTTATATTTTGCTACCCTTTTGGCACACATTCAATACTATACATGTTATTTAATGATCTAATTACGTTATAAAATCATTATAAAAAATGTTTGACATTTCTAATAATGAAAAATATGGTTTTCAGAGGCATATTGTGCCTTTAGAATATTGTTGTTTGTGCACTAAAAATATGTAAATATTCACGTCTACTATAACCGTTAAACGCTTAGGAAAGGATTTTACATATATCGGAGTGAAAGTTTGAAACAATATTTACAAAGATAAACCTTTTAGCACCAAGGCTTTTATCTGGTTGATCAAAGCCGACATAATGAGAAAATGAGGAGATCTATAGAATGATACTGAAAAAAAACAACACTTTTTTATAATGGAAATTGAGTTCATGCTTTATGACTGATAAAATAATGGTGCTTTATTTGTCATATGTGATGCATGTTTCCATGGTCAATGTGTTTTAAGTACATATTTGTACAAAATGAATTTTCTTAAGTTATAATTGAATTGCTGGAACTTGAACAAGCTTCAATTTAAGATATATTTACCTGCATTTGTTGCACATCTTAACAAATGTAAGGATAGCTATTATAAGTGACACAATTGATGTTACTACCGATACCACTATAGTCACAATATCCACTGCAAATAGAAAGTACCTCGAGTTACTTTCATCTGATCAAATATATTGATTGGTAAATATTTGTCTTTTTTTAATAATAAATATTCGTATGAAATGTTTTCTATTCATAGAATTTATCATAAAAATCGTTTTATAAAGTCCATTCAGGATGTAATACAGGGTGCAATCTTTACTATCCTGAATACGACAGTGATCACCCCCTCCCCTATCATCGGTTTGAGCTCAATTTTTAACACTTAAAAATGTTGGAATGAATCGGATCACAGAAATATCACAACACTGAATTGAAGTACGGGACAAGCCTTTACGACCATTACAAAGCCAGGCAAGCCTGTACATTCAACAAGTTATGGTAATACATAATAAGCAATATCTGACCTAGTCTAAAGTGTACATTTTCTGTTTAATAACATACTATTTGTTTTTAGAGTAGTAACAAAGGAACGAAATAGGTTTATAGCTTTGTTAATTTTATTCAATGAAATCTTGTTTTGCTAAATAGTAATTTGAAATATAGTTGTTCTTGTTTAATAAGTGGTTTTTATTAATTTTGAAATATTTGTTATATAGTATAGTACACTTACTGGTTTTATCCAAGGTATTGACTACTGGTTCTGCATTGGAAAAAAGAGGCATATAAATACATAATGCATCAGCTATAAAAAAATTAATTTATCAATAAGAGTCCACATCTTAGGAGGCAGGAAACAGGTTAAATGAACTAAGTATATAACTGTAGTATGCTGCTGTCACTTATGATACTCCTATGTATGGAAAGCCTTGACTGTCTTATGATTGTAAAAATGAGTGTTGTTGTGTCACTCTTTCTTTATACAATGTGCACTGATGAATATATTCTGTAGATGCATCTTTATATGAAGTCAACTGAACATTCTAATATGACCCGCATTTTTCCCTATTGAACATAGAAGAACCGAAAGTGTGTGTTATTATACTATAAAATCACTGTTTGACGTTCTATGTTTAGACATGGTACGTAATCATTATATACGTGACGAAACCACTAAAAATGTGACAAGCTGACAATAAGTACGTACTTAAATCAGGCGCAATTTAGCTAATTATCATGTATGCTCATCATTTATTTGTTGATGTCGTGTTAGAATCGAAATAATATACCCAAAGCGGTGATTTTATTGCTTGATAACATCACTGTTTGTCGTTCGGATGCGCATCATTATATCACTCGGGCTACGCCCTCGTGATATAATTCCCCGCATCCGAACTCCAAACTGTGATGTTATTGAGCAATAAAATCACAGTTTTGGAAATATTATTTCTTAAATATATTATGTCAGTGTGTCTTTATATGATGTCGACCAATCCTTATACGATGTGCATTCATGAATATATTATGTGGTAGAATCATTATTATAATATACAGTCAACTTATCAATATATTATGTCAATCTTTCATTATATGATGTGCATCTATTATTACACGATGTGTATTTATGAATATATTATGTGGTTGAATCATTATATACAGTCAACTTATCAATATATTAACAGAATCTTTCATTATACGATCTGCATCTATAGTTATACGACTGCTGCTTTATATGAAGTGCAAACATCATTATATCGTATGCTTCTGTCATTATACTGATGAGGTTAAATTTACCGGGTTATATCTTAATATGCATCGTTCGTGGCGACAGCGGGGAAACTCAAAGTAAATTATATCATATATGGTTAAGATGACTCTATATAAAGTCAATTCTACACAATAAAGTGTCGTTTTGACTCTATATAAGAATGGTTCCACATGATATATTTGTAATTGTACATCATATAATGAAAGACTGACATATAATGTTACGTTGACTCTATATAAAGATGGTTTAACATAATATATTCATTACTGCACATCGTATATTGAAAGATTGACATCATATAAGGACGTTTTAATCATATAATGTTAAGTTGACTGTATATAAAGATGGTTTCACATAATGTATTCATTAATGCACATCGTATAATGAAAGATTGACATCATATAAGGATACATTTACATCCTATAATGTTAAGTTGACTGTATATAAAGATGGTTCCACATAATATATTCGTAATTGCACATCATACAATGAAAGACTGACATAATATAAGGACACATACACATCATATATTGTTAAGTTGACTCTATATAAAGGCGGTTCTACATAATATTAATAATGTTATTTTGACTCTATATAAAGATGGTTCCACACAATATTTTCATTAATGCACATCGATTTACATCATATAAGGACACATTTACACCATATATTGTTAAGTTGACTCTATATAAAGACGATTCTACATAATTTACTGAAAAATGCACAGTGTATATTGATAGATTGACATAATATAAGGAGACATTGACATCATATAATGTTGACTCTATATAATTATTATTTCACATAATATATTCATAACTTCACATCATATAATGACAGACTGACATCATATAAGGACAGTTTGACATAATATATTGTTATTTTGACCTTATATAAGGATGGTTCCAAATAATATATTCAAAAATGCACATCGTATAATGATATATTGACATCATATAAAGACACATTGACATCATATATTGTTCAGTTGACTACATATAAAGATCCACATAATATATTGATGAGTTCACGTTGTATAAAGAAAGGTTGACTCAATACATTGCTATTTTGACATAACAATGTCAGATTTATAATTATAAGACAGTCAAGGTTTTCCATACCTATGTATAATGCATGATCTGCCTCTCTGATACCTGTAGTAAGTTGTTATAATACACTTGCACATTAAACATTAATAGTTAGAAACTATCCCTCGGTCTGTGTTATCGAACAATCCCTTAAAGGGTCTGGTTCTATTTAGAACATTACAACAACAACTAGTTATAGAGCTCTTATAATCAAGAAGGACACAATCAGTATAATTCGAAATGATATAGTGATTGTAATCACATAACAAAGGTAAGTTAGAGGTGAGAATTTCCTCGACAATGCCTGTAAACGTCACAATAAAGTAATTAATAAATTTGTTAATCCATTTCAATACTTAAGTAGGTAGCAGGCCTAGAAAGAGAAGATAATAACCTGAGCACTCGTAAGGGAAAACGGCTCCTGGCAGAGATGTTGTATAACCCACAGGGCATGGTTTACATTCAGTCTGTCCTGACTCTTCTTGATAAAAACCTTTTCCACAAATTTCGCACTGGTCCTTTGTTATGTAACATCCCTTTGGACAAGTCACTTAAAACAAAATACTGTAGTGGTTAAAAAGAAAGATTTCGAGCATGTTGTATTTAATAAAACTAAACTAAAGTACCGGTATAGGTTATTTGACTTCGGATCGTATGCTTATTATTAAAAATAAGTATGTGAATATCTAATAAATATCAACGTTTAACCTTTTCCCTCATATTGACACGTTTTGACGGCCTTTCGACTCCCCCTCGAATCTCTGAGGCCTCAAACAGTGAAAAATTATCCTATTTTGGCCCTAAACACTGTTTTCGGAGAAATGTTGTTAAAGAACTTTTTCGGCGCCACCCATCAAAGAGTTACATCAAGGGGTTGTGCCCCTTCTGTTTGGGGGATTTGTTTGAAGGGGGCGGCATTCCCCCTCATCGCCAAGAAAATTTTGAACATTTAAAATGGCCTCAGGTCGAACGGAAGGTAACGTGTAACCAATGCTGAAAAAGCGTTTTACTCTATCTCAATCCATAGAGAAGTTGCAGCACTTTGAAATCAGTTTTGATGGACAAAAAACAATGCAAAATGGTGATTTTTGGCGATTTTGAAACTGAGCATGCTGTTACATAGGCTCTGGTCCAATGAACATTTCTTTTCCAAATTTTCATCACTGTTGAAGCATTTTTCATATTTCCATAGCAGTTTGAACATGTTACAGGAGGCTTTTCAATGAAAACGGCCGTTTTTCACAATATGCTCATGAGGTAAAAGGTTAAAGTATTTTACAATGACTGTATCAAATTTAAGGGACAGTGAAAGTAAACACACCACATGCACCGTTCTGAGGGACCTTTCCAGCTCCGCAATCAATAAATCTTGACATAGTAAGGGACTTTTTATCTGCAATAAAATATGTCTCCCCAAGACGAATATCAAATATGTCAGCCGTAAAATTCTTAACGTAATCAGCAGTCATTTCAAGGACACGTCTTGCATCTTCTAGTGATGAATCGTCATCTAAAAGTTCATAAAATACAAATGAGCAACCCGACAAAAGATCTGATTTTTTTTTGCGTTTTACACAGCTTGAAGCGTTATTTCAGATATTGGGGAAATTGTGTTTTTTTAAGTAACAGTATACCTTGTTATAGCGGGCATTGCATGATTCGTAAAAAAGGCAAAAATAATATAATAATGCATTACCAGATATGTTAGCAGTGAATAAAAAAATATGAAAATCGAATATAAACATTTAATAAAAAAACTTATATAATTTGTAAATCTATAACGAAAATAAGAAAAAACAATATACAAAGAATTGTGCGTCTGTTAAGGAGGAACAAAAATTAAATCAATTGATTAGAATATCAGTACCTGTTACAACAAAAGTTGTGGACCGTTTTCGTATAACTGCATCTAGCATAATTTGAAAATTTACTGTCAATTTATATATGATGTTACTGGTCTGACTTAAGATGCTTGAAAAGGTTAAACTTGCACTGCATCTTGTCTTGGTAGTCGTAAAGCAGTCGGTCGGTCGTAAATGATCCAACACTTCTTGTTTAAATGCATCTTCCTTTTCATTGGGTATACGCTTTTCGTATGAGATGTTTGCTTCAAGTCTTAGACCTTTTGGAGGAACTGGAGCTACAAAAAGTGTCGAAGGGTTTGTCGAGATAAATTATTTATTACCTGGATTATTGGAAAGAAGATTGTCTATGTTCATTTCGGCATATTTTGCAATCTTTAAAATTTTTGAAATTTGGTGTGAAAATCAAAAACAGAATTGTATCTATTTTTCTTCTTCTTTTGCCTTTTAAAGTAAATTCTAAAAGATATAGAAGAAGTTTGTCAAGTTGAATCAAAGGGTACTTATACAATTCTAATCATGCTTAACTATTTGAAAGGATATTTTTCAAATTTGAAAAGTCAATTTAAACAGAGATTTGAAAAATAACACACACACACACACATACACACAGACAAAAACTGAGCTACCCCAAAGGACTTCCTGGTTAGTGTGACAGATGTGGAGACTTGCTTTTCCCGTTACGGGTGGAAACAGGTTTATCACATTCTGTCCCAGTCGGTATGGTGATAAGTTTCAATTAATAAAGTTTCCAACTATGTTTTGAAACCGAAAACTACCGAATATATATCGATAAACCCTACCTACACAGGTGGGTTGAATATTTCCTGGAATCCACCCGTTGTTTGTAGGCCAACCACAAAATATTTCGTCGAATTGCTTGAATTGGGGAAGTAATATTGTTCCATTTTCACATACTGTCTGACACTTTACTTGACCGTAATTGTCGTAGATTTCACAGCTATAGTTGGACCGTGAACTATTGTATTGTTTTAGAGGTGGACAGACTGAAAGAAAACAAGAGGTGGACAGACTGAAAGAAAACAAAAACAACAATAAAAACAAAACCAACACCTTTTTCTCGAAAAAAGTAAAAACAACAGCAATAACAACCATTTATTTTAACATTAAGTAATATGCATTTACTTCTAGCCTACAATAAAAGAATTATGTGTAGTGATAGGTCATACAAAAATTGTATTAATTGTGTTATTATTTAAACAAAGAAGCTTTTGATTAGTAACACGATATTGTTGATTCATTTTAAATAGATGATTACCACTATTCTAATTCTGTTATTAGCAAAATATAGATATTTTGATAAATTGATTATTTCTTTCTTGTTTTGAGATATCATTCACTTACGTTACTTTTGCAATGCTGGCCATGTCAAAATAAAAAGGCTTCAAAAAATTGTGTCTTAAATGTATGTATATCGGGCAAGTAAGTAGAAAATGGTATTCATTTTAAATGAGTAAAGAACGACAAAATTTGCAAGTTCTTTCTAATCTTGGAATATTATTGTATCTTCCAATTTCAATTTCAAGATTGTGTGATGATAAACGAAATCTACTAAGAACAATTTTGAAACGTCTTTCTAAACTGTAATAATCAAGATAAGGTTGGATAGAAAATGAATATTTTGTCCTACAATATATTATAAGTCTTTGAGAGTTATAAATTTCTGAAAACCAGGTTTGGTGATATTAGTCTAAAACTCTTTGTTTTATAAATTAAAAAAAATAAATAAAAATGTTGATATATGTATAGGTCGTTCTATATATGTGACAGACCCAGTTTGTTGAATACTTTTTTAAATTTAATATGCCCATTTTGGCCATTATAAGTTAAATTGTTATTTGCATCTAGTTTTAGCATATTAGATATTTGTTTTATTAATTTGTTGTCTTCCAACATTTGAATTTTTAACCAAAACCTAATCATGTTTATTTGTCTTACAATTTTCATTGATTTTCTCCATCTAATTCTGTCAGATTAGTTGAGGTATTAACGACTTTTCTGCAAAATTTTGTGTTTTTTCAATATCACTACCCTTAATATTTCCCAATACCTCCGGACAAATTTAGAATTGATGCTATTAATGAATCAAATAATTTACATTTTCACTAGTTTTGAATTCATATCGATGAAAATAGCAAACAGTCTATAAAGTGCTTTCGATGCATGTTCTTGTATGCTTTTTTGTGTTCGTGACCAATTTCCATCTTTAACAAATGCCCGGTTTGAGCCGGCTGATGCTCCCCGAATATGTTTTGGACACAGGAAAGTACACCTCTTGTAGTGTCAGAGTTATGTCCCTGGAAAATGTTCACAGTGCAATAAGTCCAAAATTAGGCAAGGCAGAGAAACTGTTCTTTGCACTGCACTTCTAATCAATGCGATCTATCAACCTTCAAAGTTTGTTGTTGATAACTCATATGCTTTCCGAGTGATGTCCCGGACAAAGTTCAAAATGTAAAATTGAACAAAGGGCAAAAACTACAAAATTCGGCAAGGGGAAGTTCTTGTGCACTGCACATCTACCCATTTAAATCTACCTACAAAGTTTCATGTTGATATCTCTTATAGTTTTAGAGTTATTTCCCGAAGAAGATTATTTAAAGGGGAAATAATTCAAAAATTGAGCAAAACAGAGTTCTTTTTGTACTGCACTTTTACTCAATGAGATCTATCTATCTACAAAGTTTCATGTTGATATCTCTTATAATTTTAGAAAAATATCCCAGACAAAGTTCAAAAAGTAAGAATAAACGAAGGGCAATAATTCCAAAATTAGGCAAGGCAGAGTTATGATTTTTGTGCAATATCCTGGACAAGATTTTTCTAAAAGGGGATAATTCAAAAACTTAGGCTTAACAGAGTTATGGTTCTTTTGCACTGTACTTCTATTCAATGAGGTATATCTACCTGCAATGTTTCATGTTGATGTTGATTAACAAAGGGAAATAACTCCAAAATTAGGCAAAAAGAGTTATTGTTCTTGTGCACTGCACATCTACCCATTGAGATGTATTTACCTACAAAGTTTCATGTTGATATCTCTTATAGTTAAAGAGTTATGTACCTTACAAGATTTTTCTTAAAGGGGAGATAATTCAAAAACTTGACAAATAGAGTTATCGTTCTTTGACACTGCACAACCCCTCAATGCCCTCGACCACTGTATGAAGTTTTAACAAGTTCTTCAAGGGTTTTCAAGTTATGCTCCGGACAAAAAAAAACGGACGGACAGACGGACAAGGTGGCGACTATATGTTCTTCTTTCGGGGAGCATAAAAAGGTATATTCCCAAATATTTAAAAGACGTTACTATTTCAGTTTTTTTTTGTGTTTTTTAGTCTATATTATTAGCCAATTAAGTAGTACCTGAGAATAGATCTTAGATAAAATATTGTTAAGTGTTTTACCACGTTAGTTTCCAGTTAGTTTTAGGTCGCCCCTTTAAATATTGGAAAAATATTGGAAAATATATCCTTCTCCCCAGATTTCCGAGTATTGTCCATTTTCAAATCTTTGGTGAAAGATTGACAAAAGAAAAGAAAAAATTATAATGTATGAAGATTTAATAATTTCTGCCGATACACAGTCCGGTCCAATAACTTTAAAATTATTTTGTTTATTAATTTCATTTTTAGATATCGGGGAGTCTAAATCTTCATCCTGTATATTTTCAAATGTTCAAATGTTTCATCACCATTTTCATCAAAAAATGTAGAAATATGTTCATGAAGATGTTCTATTCCTATATCATTATTTTTGGAGTGTTCATTTTAAAACATATTTTGATAGATTTCCAAATCTTTCACGGATTGGTACATGCAATATTTTCAAGTTTTTACCTTCTTGTAAACAACTAAACAACAAACGAACAAACAAAAACAGGTAGAAAATCCAAAATCGTCAAGAAAACACACGTAACTTACGATTCATTATAGTGAAACTTGTTTTAAAAAGATTTATTAAGTAAAAAAATAATTATTAAGTGAATATGGAGCTCAATGTTTTGTAAGTTAATTACATTTAGGTATTCTGTGTACGAACTATCGCAAAGCGTCTGTTTAAACACCCGAAAACACTCTAAAGTACTTCGTATACGACAGAGAAATATGTTACTGATTTGAACGACTTTAAATAATTCACAGCTAGAAAGTGATGTAACACGATAATGAGGGGTAGCTCGCCCTGTCGTTGTATAACCAGCCTAACACATCATTGCATAAAAAAAATCCTACCAAACATATTGCATATTTTACATAAGTGTTTCTTACCTTTACATTTGCTCAAATTACACGGTTTACTGTCAAATTCATCTCCCTCACAAGGTATCCCACCAGGGCCAGGTGAAGGGCTATCACACTGTCGAAAACGTGTTTGATTCCCAGAACCACACGAACGTGAACAGCTAGACCACGCTGTCCAATCTGACCAGTTACCGTTCACTTAATGATAAATGGAAAATAAACATGACGCATCGTAATTGCTTCTTCTAATTCTTTCCCAAAATTTATAAATAAGTAAAACAGTTTTGGTAAACGTGTTGTTGCGTATGAGTTATCATGCTTGACGAGTTATCTTACTAGATAAGTTACCTTGCTAGAAAACTATAACGAAAAATTTCACTATGAGTAACATATTGCCTAAATGGTCAAGCGTGCTGTTGTAATTGCTGATTAGCCGATGGCCACAAATTCGAGTATCTAACAGGATGGGTTTTAAAGAAATTTATTCATAATTTCTTTTCAGTTACAAAATTTACATAAGCCTTATATGTTGACCCTGAGAACTCTGGGTCCAAACATTTAAAATCCAAACGGTTTCTTACTCTAAAATGTCTTGTTTTCTCGTTAATGGCACACGCATTTTTTATTTGGGGATCATATGCCGCTTTTCATGGAATGTCACTTACTTGTACATTGAAGGTTCCATAATTACCGCCATATGAACACATTTGCGGATGTTTCAAAATTAAATTCAAAATTTTACCAGTTCTGTCAGATATTGTTGAAAAAGTTGTTTCCCCTTTATTTAAATGTACGTCGATAAAATTATTCATTTTGAAGACATTGAAAAGATAGATGTGTGTAAAAAGTGGTATAATATAGAATGTGATACGAATTGAAGATTATTTTATCAGTCTCTAAATCAATACAGGTTTGAAAAGTCTGATGTTAATAGAAAAATTTGGTTAATGCAAGATCGCGCTATAAATCTACACAAAAGGAAAGCGGGATATGCTTTTGATAAAAAAAGAGAAACTGACAGACTAGCAGAAGCCGAATACAAAAATGCAAACTTATATTTGAAAATGTTTAAGATTTGTGCAGGGTTAAGAGTATAGATATTTCAATTAATATTTTCGAGCAATATTTCAAGTCAGTAAATAATCCAGATGATAAATCTTTTACTCCAGATAAGGATGTTCTATATTTAATTGAAAGATATGAACAAGGGCAGTTCAACATTATGTTTAAGAAATTAAATGTTCCATCCACTTAAAATTGTATAATGAAAGCAATAAGTCAATTGAACTCCAATAAGAGTGGTGACCTAGATTTATACATTAACGAATGTTTTATCCACAGTAAACACGTTTTAATACCAACATTGTTGACATTATTTAATAAAATTTTTGAACCACGATAAATTCTGGAAGTTTGGTCTGAATTTTAAGTAGTACAATTGCATATAAAAAGATCAATTAATCAAGTAAATAATTATAGGGGTATTACACTTTTAAGGAAAACTTTTTACTAGATTATTGGACACTCGAGTAAAGGATTGGGCAGAAAATTAAAGTGTGTATATAGAGGCGCAAGCTGGATTTAGATCAAAATTAGGCATATTGGATAATATTTTTGTTTTGCACGGTCTTATCAATCATTTCATTAAAAGTGATAACCAATTATACTGTGCTTTTATAGATTAAAGCAAAATTTTTCATTATGTAAAAAGGGATAACTTATGGTCTAAACTTATTCAAATAGGTATTAGAGGTAACATTTCAAATATGATTAGGTCTATGTATACTTCTGTTAAGTCAAGAGTTAAGTATATCAATGAAGTTTGCAATAGTTTTGAATGTTTTTTAGGGGTTAGACAGGGTTTATGTTTATCACAGTTTTTCAATGTTTATAGAATGATATGTATGTTAAAAACGGCTTCGATGTTATAGAAGTTAACATGTTTAAAATGTTATTTATACTAGACGCAGATGAAATTGTTATTTTTGCAAACAATCCTAGTGACCTGCAATAAAATTTAGATATGTTAAACGTGTATTGTAATGAATGGAAATTGAAAGTTAACACAAATAATATAAAGGTTATGATATTTAAAAAATGTGGTCGTTTACAAGAAAATCAAATTTTTTATTTTAATGATAGCATTGTTGAAATTGTTAATAAATGTTCATATTTTGGAATTGTTGTAACTTCAGGTGGATCTTTTACGGAAGCTCAAGATACTTTAGCGGGTCAAGCACTTAAGGCTTTCTATAAGATAGATAAATACTTATAAAAATTTACTGACATATCTGTTAAACATAAAGTAGATTTATTTGATAAACATGTGCAATTTTGGGGTTTAATCAAGGCAAATCTGTGGAACGTATTCATATGCATTTCTTTAAAGGTATATTGGCAGTTAAAAAGAATACACAGAATGATTTCATTTATGGGGAGTTGGAAAGAATGCCTCTGCAAAATATGAGATCTAGGTCAAGTTGTTACGATCAAATGAAAACAAATATGGTAGAAAAATATTTTTATTACTTGAATAAGATGTCACAGATAATCCTCCCAGAAAAAAATGGTGGTTATTTTTAAGAGATTTATTATGTATACTTTGTTTTCATGAAGTTTGGCTTTTCTAAACTATTGGTGAGCCTAAATTCTTTACATAGATTTTAATCAAAGACTTAAAGATCAGTTTTTACAAAATTGGTCTGGTAGTGTAAATGACTCTAGCAGGCCAATCTTTTACAGGTATATATTAAACCACATATTTCAACCATATCTTAATATTTTAAATGGAAGGGAATGTATGTATCGCCTGCAAGTTTGCTCGCATAGGCTTTTTATTGAAACAGGTCGAAGGACTAGACATGTAAGTGCACCTAAAAATGAAGGACAATGTATTTTTTGTGACAAGTTATAATATTCATTATGTTCTGAAATGTACTTTATACAGTGATTTAAGCAAACTTTTTACACCAAATTATTATGTCAATCGCCCTAATATGCAAACATTTATTGAGCTAATGAATTCAGAAAATACACGAATTGTGAAAAATCTAAGTTAAACTATGTACATTGAAAAAGCTTCCGCATTAAGAGCAAGTGAGTTATACATGTATATCAATAATAATACATGTTATATGGTACTATTTTCATCAAGTGTTTTACTGTTATTCTTATCCTAGTGAAATAGTCAGGCATATGGTTATATATAGGTACTTCTTATCAAAAAAATAAAAATGTATCCACGTGTAACATTTTGTTACTTTTGTTTTCGAACTTAATGTGACCAATGTGGAAAATAATAGGACTTTTTGTCACTATGTACACAATGCACCCATAAACAGTTTTAATATGAAATACGCAAATACCCGAGGTATATCGAATGAATAAAAATCATTTGTTTCCCTTATCTTCCAGTAAAATCGATACATTTTATGCTCAAGCAATGAAAATTAAGCCGAGTTTGTTATGAGTTAAAATCCGATTTTAAGATTTATTACACCAATTGAAAGCTTTAAATCGTAGCGGCATCACAGTATCTACTTCAACATATTGTTTCGCACCAAAGTATTGAAATTGACTCTTAAACCTACCACATGTCAGACCATTTAACATACGATTTATACACTGATCGTCTGCTAGTTTGGAAAGTGTTTGTCGGTGTATTCCAAATCCATAAGAAAATAATTATTGTACCCTTGTTTGTTTACTTGCACTAATCAAATTAAATTTTTATAAATTTGATGTTGAATTCTGCTTAAGCCGGTGATAGGGGGCGCTTGACAAAACCGTCCATGAAGAGGCTCAATCAAACCGAGCTTGCAACATTTTCAAGTTGGGTTTTCCTTAGGGATTCTTATTTAAACTATTCCTTATCATAAACGATGACTTCCTAAAAAGGGCTGCGTAAGGTATGAGTGCATTACTTTCATTTATGAATAAAACTTTTGAAATAACGTCAATGAATCTACTTCTTTGCTCAGTGGTCTAAAACGATGCATTTAATGGCTTTAAATACTTTTGTCAGATTTTGATATAAAGAGCAGCAGTTGCATTGCTGTAATCCTTGATCCTGAAGGAAGAATTATTTATCCCCATGAACAGACCCAATGGACTAGACGGCATGTCCATGAATTCGATGAAATGATAGCCTTAAAGCAAATCTGCGATTTCGAATTGTGCACACCCCAAAGCAGTGTTACCTTAGACATTACCATTTTACATTGCGGTTTCAAAAGTGATAAGGACTTACGAACCGCTGAATTTCTTCAATTTATCGTGGAAAAAAACAGCGTAAAAGATATAATCGGGTTTATGCAAGTACGATTCTCGTTTTTGAGCGCTTTAGTTTTTTCCGTTTCAGGGCCTAAAAGAAACCGGAAAACGTGCTTACGCTGAATCAAGGCTGGTGGAAATCATCGCAATTAACTAAGAGAAAATGGACGGGGTTATCATTTTTATATGTGCACTAAGATATAAAACAAATGAATGGAGTTTGAAATTTATACTTTACTGCTCCTTTTTAGATTGATAACCAATGGCTGAGTGTTCAAATCGAACATTGAACAACCTTATAATTCTGCTAATTCATGCAAATTTGAATAAAACTTAGTCATAAATTTGAATCTCATACAAGAGAAGAGCTGACAAACGAAAAATGGCTCGACTCAAAAATGATATTCAATATTAAACAGGACTGACATCAACCCATATTCAACGTCGTATTTTAATCAATTGGAATCTTTTTACTTATAATCTATTTATAATCCTTATTACCTATGATGACTTAGAAAGTCGTTTTTATTTTATTTATAAAAGCTTTTTATCTTTGGTGAACTTTATTTGTCGTTTCCAAAATAATTCTCACCGGACAGTTATCTGAACCATCGTGTTTCATCTGTTGAGTTTTTGACAATTAGTACAGTTATGGTAATTCAGTGACTATTTTGTATGGAAGTCAAGATACTTCTTTGTCTACATTTTGCTACGTTCATGAAAAATTATGTCACATTTATCTCTACTTTCTTTAGGTTACAAGCTTTTTACATACTCTAAAGCCATTATTTATTTGTAATAAAATAAAATGTGCTCAACCTTACCTGGAGATATTTGGCAAAGCACTCCAGAATAATACTGGGGACAAGTGCAATTATACCCAAGGTTATGATTGAGACAACTTGCATTGTTCATGCAAACATTATCCTTGCAATAATCAGGTGGTATTTCACATGTTTGTCCAGACCAACCGTTTAAGCAATAACAGTGTATTTCCTGATTAACGCCCAATATGCAAGTGTGTCCATTGCACTGCAGAGAGCTGCACTGTTGTTCAAAAGCTAAATTTGCTGAAATGAAATGTACCTTTAGTGATTATAATTGTGTCTTCATATTATATTACGGAACAATTGATATCAATTTTTGAGATAATAAAGACTTGATAAAGCAATCAATGATTAGACACAAGAAATGGCACATAACGTTTGGTTCTTTTAGAAGACGTTACGCCAAAAGTCATCGGTATTTCCACACCAATGGCTAGGAATGCTAGTGGAAATTAAACGGCATATAAAATATATTCTTCTTCTGACTGGAGCTACTCGGCTTCGTTAGGAAACGCTATTTCATTTAGATAAGTTCGTGTTATCGCCAGCGTGTTTGGATGTTTTCACGTTTGTGGTTCTAATAAGGTGCCAGTTTGTGTCTGAAATAATGCAGAAAGGGACACGGGAAGGATTACGCCACAAAAAAATGTAAAGGCGCCATAGAACCTATATGTTATCCTGGTGCGACGTACCCCCTCCTCCAGTCCCCCCAAAAAATCCAAATAATAATAGTAAAGTGCAAGCATATGTATTTAAAAAAACTAAAAAAAGACCAATACTATTTTGCCAAGAAACATAACAAAAACCATGTAGTGATAAGAAACAAAGACCAAAAAAAAAAAAAAAAAAAAAAAAAAAAAAAAAACGAATAGAATTACATACCAGTTTCATAAGGGAAGTTTGAACCTTTCTGTTTTGTTTGATAAGTTTGGCAAATTTGATTTTCAACAAAGGCAAGCAAAGAAAATGAAATAAGTGACTTACCGAGACAACGCGTCGGCCTCGACCAGGTGCCGTCAGCCATACACATCATATATAATGGTCCACTTGGCGTGTATCCCTGTCTACACTGAATGAAACATACACTCAGGTAACTGCTATCAGAATTTGTGCAAGAAATATCAGCATTTTCTGGTACAGTTGGTTGACTGCAATTTAGTACTGAAAAAAGAAGATAATGATAATTGTCACCAAAGAAGTTATTATTAAAACCGTTGAATAAAACAGATCTTTTTACATTTTATTATCTTTTATTTTATAAAATCACTAAAATATTATTGACGTTATTTTACTCGACAGGCATTTTTGATCAATCACATTGAAAAAAACTCTACTGGCATGCGAGCAGTTTCCGTACAAAAATCGTAGTTACTTAATCATTATTTTTTATTACGCTCACTCACCAAAATTTGAATGTTACACATCAATATTCGGCTCGTCACACAAATCATGGAAATTCCATCATGTTCTAAACATAGAATAACCCTTAGTTATGAGGCCTCATATGGGGTACCGAAATTATCCATTATTTTGTATGAAGAGAAGTAGTTCCCGTACATAAAATTTAACCCATTATAATTATACAATTTTATTATATCGGACCTTTTTTCATTTATAATTGTTGAACAGACCATTTTCTAAGAGATAAATAGATGTAATTCAGAAAATAGAAAGTAGACTAAACGCGTGTATCTATTACCCAGTACCGTTACCACCAACGCATTCACATGCGATGGCATGCTTGTATGCATGATATTTTACGCATCAAAGCCATAAAATTATTTTATATAGTTATATTGGTCAAAATTCTGATAATTAAACAAGTTTTCATCACATTGCCTTCTTATCTGTAAACAGGTGGTATTAGTGAAAAACCCTTAACATGCCTCACGTGTAAGTATGTTTGCGCATGCGCGCAAAGACGGAATTCCCCCAGATAAAACAAGGTCACGTTTTGACAACGCACAGGTGAAAGTGATTTAAAATGAGACTTTTTATACGTACTGCCGAACTGACACTTAGATTTTGTCTCTTTTATGTATCTGCTTGATTTGAAATGAATTTTTGAAGAATGCATGTAAAAATCAAGCGTTTAAATGAAAAATACGGGTACTGCTTCTGTACGGGAACTGCTCGCATGCCAGTATACTAGAAGTCTGATAAACAAAAAAAACAACAAAAAAACAAAAAAAAAATAAATAAATTAAAAAAGAATCATAAATAAAAGAAAAACAAAAACAAAAAACACTTTAAAATATAAATGTCTTAAATATACGAAATAAAAGAATTATTTAGTGTCTGTTTCTTTTCTTTTATTACTTTCACACTGCCGTGAATCAGACCAGGTCGGGTTTGCTTGTACAGAATCTGGAGTGTAATCGCATGTAATATTGTCGGTCTTATTTACTATATATCCTTTACTGCAGTTAAGTAAACATGAACTTCCGGGAAAACTACCATCAGTGCAGCCGTACCGACCGTTGTCAATTATACCAAGAGTACGACATTCTGAAACTATATCAAGATATATTGTTAGCTGCAGAATCTTGTAAAAAAATATACATCCATCAAGATGAGTCTATGTCATAATATAATCGAAAAGTTAAATTAACCATTACAATAAGACTAATATAAATCAATGATTTTTTTCTCAAAATTAATTTCCTCGTTTTTGAGTAACAGGTACTTTGTGACTTGGAGACTATATTAGACATTTCCTTGAGTGGCAACCAATCGTCAAAGTCTGATGAAACTGGTGCCAAATATTGAAGTTTGCAGTTTTGGGTGACCTATAGGGTATCCTGTTTTAACTATTTAATGTTACATAAAATATGTAATGATGATTAAAATATATATTTTTTGTAACCAATTTTGAAGACAAAATTTTAAAACATCACAGAAAATAAACCAAACAAACTGTAATAAACATTTTATATTGCCTTTCATATACTGACTATTAACCTTTTATTAATTATGATATGGTTAAAATGAATTTATTTTAATAAGTTACTTTGAACGTCTATAGCAAAATAGCAGTTGTCCTTCAAACCGTTGTTGTCGGTGGCTATATATACTATATGATGCCGTTCAAAATTAACCGACCCAGTAAACTGACCTCCATTCTTCACACCCAGTACTTGCTCAACCCTTTAAATTAATACAATTTATACTTCAACTTGATATTGTCAATATGATATTTACCGCATTTATGGTCCCGCGTCTATTTTAAGAGATTATGATTTTATAAGTCTATACACAGGCAATCGATATCTTTGTAAATCTGTATAATATTATCAAAATAAAATATTCATCTGACGTTAAATGTAACATGGTAGTCCATGATTTGATTTTCCTATTATCTCTTTTATGCCACTTTGCTAAACTAGAACAATTATATAAAAATAACTGGCATGTTACTGGCTAAATATATTATTTGACGATACTTTATTAATCGTCCAATTTACCATGCATACGATCAAATAAACTCTAAATAATTACAAATAAATATCCCAATATTGTATTACATTACTTATGACTAGATATGGTAAACTAAATGAGACTCGTATAAGCCTTTTTTCTTTAAATTTATAAGCGATGCATTTATCTTTTAATATCATAAGAGCAACTGTCGATGCATTATACGTGCATTATACATGATTAAAAAACAAGAAAAGTATGAATATATTACCTTAGCTGTTTTCCAAACTGATCGATCGCAATGGGTTCCGTCCACTTTATAGTGACGTAGTTCCTACCAGGCGGCACCGTATAGCTTTTGGAAAGGTCTTGCGGTGGGCACTGGTCAACAAATGACGGTGGAACATATCTACTAGTATCATCAACTGCATCACCTGTTACATTTTATTTTCTTACAGTAAATACTTCTTTATATAATATAACACACTCTTTTGGATTATTCCTCACAACAGTAGTCGACCACTTGAGGAATTGGAACACTCTGGTTTATCTTATTCAGAAAAGATGGCTAAGTGGTTTGAACGTCGATCGAAAATATGTTAAAATCGGCGTAAATATTAAGCAAACACACAATTTAACATATTCCATGCACAGCAGCATACACATTATTAATTATAAAGCTTTTTGACAAGTTATATGACCCTATATAAACGATTGTTTGGAAACATAACTAGAGCCGCTAGATAATATTTATAAGGAATTTATAATTCAGCAAGCATCTTTTTAGAGAAAAAGGTGAGATTTTATTCATAAATTGACAGTTGTCGTATATATTATAAGCTATAAAGATTCTTGATATGTTAAGCAATCTTAAATAAACAGTTTTATTATATAATCTATAAATAGCTTTGAAATGCCTTTCCCTGATTGGCTAACAAGCAACTTTTTGTAAAAAATAACAGATCAATATCAGAGTATATTCACTATTTTTTTTCCTAAAATAGATTTTCAGAGTATATTCACCGGTTTTTCTTCTAAAAATAGACTTCTGGAAATCCCTAAAAGACGCGAAAATTTGATGTGACGTCACGCCAAGTTTGTTGTTATTATTCTGAAGAAACGTTTGTTGGGTGTACATAAGAGTATGTTAGTCTATTTTAGTTACCGTTTTTCATTTTTGTGAAAAATAGGGATTAGCATGCTAATGGAAAGGGCCAAATTATGGAAACATTAGACAGCTGAAAAATAATGATTTCCGTCATATGCAATGGCAGATGTGATAAGCCATATAAAAGCTATTTATAGATTATATAATAAAACAGATATGTACTTTTTAGCTGTTGAATATGATGTGATATGTACTGAAAAATTATTATTGACCTCGGCTATCGCCTCGGTCAATATTAATTTTTTCAGTACATATCACATCATATTCAACAGCTAAAAAGTCCATATCTGTTTTATTATTGTCCAAAACGCAACAGAGAAGATAAGGCAGCAACAAATTTTACGATTTTTAATTAAAGAAAAACAGTTATTCACAATAATACGGAAAACTATAAAATTAAAGTTTAACTCACAATTATTCAAGTTTTTGAAGAAGAAACATTAACTTCAAAATGTTGAATGGCAAGTATTAGAACTTAACACTCCTCTTTTGTAGAGTAATTCTTCTGATATTTGTTTTACTTCTTAGAAAAGAAACAAACCGGTTGGTCAACACCATTGTTGTCTTCTTGAATTAACACAGCATCAGCACTAACATCTACAGCTAATTTGAAACATTTATCAAAGTCTGGAGCTGAGAGAATGAATCAGTTCTTTAGTATGGCTTTTAATCCTTGAAATTCAGTCTGATGCTCATTTTTCCAAACACATTTGACATTTTTCTTAAGCAAATTTGTCAATGGCTCAGCAATAATAGAAAAAATTTTGTATTTTTTTTAAGTTATAACAAGCCATGCCAAGAAATCTCATCAATTGTCTCTTACATGTAGGTACAGTACAACCATTAATAGCTTAACCAGTTTAAACTCCCCAGCAGTCATTGTTGTGCTGCTAACCGTTCCAAGGCGGCGCCCCACTCTGTTCCTCAGATGTATGTCTATGTCGTTTCATACTGTTTTGGTGACACTTTTGCTTGTGTCCCTTGTTGTTTTCTCGTCTACGGTAAGTATCTTCCCCATTGCCTCTAGTTTTTGTTTCTTTGATTACCCCCCCCCCTTCCCCGGTCTCCTGTCCCCTTCCCCTTTGTGGGCCTTTTATTATTTTCTTTGAATTCCTAATCAGTTATAAATTAATTATCATTTAATGTTTGACCTGTCCGTGCTCTGTCTTTGCCCTGTCCTGTTTTTGTTTGGGGTCCGCCTGGGCTCCTTGCCATTGGTTCTTGTTGCTGGGTCATATGGGGTTGCGTTCATTGAACGCCGCCTTTCCTTGTTGATTTTGTTTATCATATTTTATTGTTCTTTAGTATCAACTGGTTTCACATGACCCTGTTCCACCTTATGTCCTAAAAATGTCAATGTAGAATGGCAAAATTCACAGCTCGCGAGGTTGATTGTCAGTTTGGCGTTGCTTAATCGCCCAAAGAATGCTCTGTTGACCTTAAGATGTTATTCAAATGTACGTTCAGGAAGTATGATGATATTGTCAATGTACCATTCGCTTCCATCGAGACCAGCTATCACCGAATTGATTATCCGTTGAAATGTAGCTGCTGAATTTTTCATGCCGAAAGGCATAACTTTATACTGGTAAACCCATTAGGAGTCACAAACACTGATATTTCTTTCGCATTCCCAGTCAATTGAACTTAGTAAATCAAATTTAGCCACATATTTTCCTTTTCCAACGTTATCTATGCAGTCATCGACCCTCGGTATTGGATATGCATCAGTCTTTGTTATTGCATTTATCTTACGATAGTCTCTGCACATCCTATATGAGTTGTTTGACTTTGGCACCAGACTACATGGCGAAATATATTTGCTCTGGCATCTGGCGTGGTTCTATAAAGTCATTTTCTAGCAAGTATTTGACTTCATTTTTTAAAACTTGTTGTTTGACTGGATTTAGCTTGTATGTATTTTTGTTTTACTAATGTATCACTTTCTAACACAGCGTTATGGTATATCTTATCAGTTATCGTGTGGGAATATCTGGAAACAAATGTTTGAACTCATACACTAGCTCTTTTAGTTGTTTCTGCTGTGACGGTTAAAGGTGAACACATTTCTGGTCTATACTCTTCAGAATGTCAGAATTTTCAAGTTTTGGAATACAAGGATCAGTTTTTGCCACATTTTAACATTCATCAATATCATTAACGGTTTGTTCTTTTGAGACAGGGTGAGTCACTGAAACCGGCTTTACAATATTATCAGAATCTCTATCAATGTATTTCTTAAGTACGAAAGCCAAATAGTGTCAAATGAAAAAAAAACAAACGCAAAGGCGTTATATCGCGAATAAAGGCGTTATTACGCGAATCAAAAGGCGTAATAACGCGAATCAAAAGGCGTTATAACGCGAATCAAATGGCGTAATTACGCGAATAAGTGCGTTATAACGCGAAATAAAAGGCGTAATAACAAAAATCAAAAGGCGTAATTACGCGAATCAAAAGGCGTAGTAACGCAAATCAAAAGGCGTAATAACGCGAATAAAGGCGTAATAACGCGAATCAAAAGGCCTAATAACGCGAATAAGTGCGTTATAACGCGAAATAAAAGGCGTAATAACAAAAATCAAAAGGCGTAATTACGCGAATCAAAAGGCGTAGTAACGCAAATCAAAAGGCGTCATGACGCGGATAAAGGCGTAATAACGCGAATCAAAAGGCGTAATAACGCGAATAAAGGCGTTATAACGCGAAATAAAAGGCGTGATAACGCAACTCAAAAGGCGTAGTAACGCGAATAAAGGCGTAGTAACGCGAACCAAAGGCGTACTAACGCAAATTAAAACGCATTATAATGCCAATTTAATACTATATTTATACTAATCAAATGGCCTCGTAACGTGAGAAAGCAAGGCCAATATTGATATGAATTTATTCCTCAAGATATAATATACATTTACAATAACTAACATTCCATTTGCGCAGTAATAATGCAAACTATTTGTCATAACCTAATGAAGACTCTTTAATATTTGCCAATTTAAGGTGACTTGGTGCCTATTGCACTGGACGTAAATACAGTTAATCTGAATTCTCATGTATCAAATCATTGATTTTACACATGTCACTATAGTAAATGAATTTCTTTTCTTTTCTTTTCTTTTCTTTTCTTATCTTATCTTATCTTATCTTATCTTAGCTTATATCTTATCTTATCTTATATGTGCGTCATATGTTCAATTATCTTCGGATATATCCTATTTGATTACCTTATAACATCTAGTATATTCTAATTATGTGAATGCCATTCCTAATTAAGCTTTAGGTTAAAGGCTATAGGTAATAAGATTTGGGAAAACGTAAGGTATAAGTTAGTCACATAAGGGTGATCATTGATAAGTATGTTTAAATGGGGGATAGTGTTGCAGTTGAGTCAAAATCATAGGAGACATTGCCTTCTTTGTCTATGTAGAAGAGTATCTATAGTTGGGTGATAGTTAACCTCTAATCTGACGAAAGTATTTCCTAATAAAAGATTTAAAATTTCAGACTGTGGCCTTAGAACGTATCCGTACAGAATTGAAAATAAAACGTACGTCTTGATAGATTTATTTAGATCAAATTGTTCTTCCTATCTTACATTACTAGGCCACTGTTTGGAATTTATATGGTATTAAATTAGCGTTATAACGCCTTTTGTTTTGCGTTATTATGCCTTTTGGTTCGCTTAAGAACGCCTTTTGATTCGCGTTATAACGGCTTTATTCGCGTAAGTACGCCTTTTGATTCGCGTTCTAACGCGAATAAAGGCGTTATTACGCCTTTTGATTCGCGTTATAACGCCTTTATTCGCGTTAGTACGCCTTTTGATTCGCGTTATAACGCCTTTATTCCCGTTATAACGCCTTTTGATTCGCGTTATAACGCTTTGATTCGCGTTATAACGCCTTTATTCGCGTAAGTACGCCTTTTGATTTGCGTTATACCGCCTTTATTCGCGTTATTACGCCTTTTGATAAGCGTTATAACGCGAATAAAGGCGTTACTACGCCTTTTGTTTCGCGTTATAACGCCTTTCGTTTCGCGTTATTACGCCTTTTGATTCGCGTTATAACGCCTTTATTCACGTTAGTACGCCTTTCGAGTCGCGTAATTACGCCTTTATTCGCGTTATTACGCCTTTTGTGTCGCGTTTTAACGCGAATAAAGGCGTAATACCGCCTTTTGATTTGCGTAATTACGACTTTGTTTCGTGTTATAATTAACGCGAATAAAGGCGTTACTACGCCTTTTGATTCGCGTTATAACGCC